AAAAAAAAAAATGATACCAAACAGTCTATGCACTCAAAAAAAAAATAAAATAAAATAAAATAAAATAAAATCATATCTATATAGCTCCAAAATATCACTTGTGAACCAAATTTGTGGGAAGTCTTGTCTCTTGTCGTTTTCGTTACGGGTCCACAACTTGCACACACACAATACATCTTGTTTATTCAAACAATGAGTTTCTTATGTTTATCACATCGATATAGCTCCAAAATATGAATTGTTAGTTCTGTTCGTATATGTGTCGTATAGACAAATTTTTTAAGACATATATACATGATTGCATTAATATTATTTGATTATAATATAATGGTATCACAATTAGTTAATAATGATTTGATTGTTTGTAATTTTGTTAATTAATTATTTGAGTTAATAGTGTCATTTATAGAGTGAAATGTTAATTGACAAAGTATAACTCTCAAATTGTCTCAATCGATGATCATTAAGAAATGAATATTAATTATACGCAATAGATTGACATGTGGTCTGCATCATATTCTCGAAGAATATAGTATGTCTCCCAACTATGAATAATTGTTATTCGTGATAAACACATTGATAATTTCGAGAGTATTGGTATACCCTACCAATAAATCATTTGTTCACGTGTCTATGGGAGTATCGGTGTGTAGAATGGTGTAATAGTCCTTTGACTTGAGATCAATGCGCAATTCATGTATAAAGTGATTTACTTAGACCTAGTCTAACGCTTACGCCCTTATGCTTAGATACGGGCTTGTGTTGGCTTGACTACGATATACATGGAATTGGTAGTTGAGTCAAGATAGGATTTATTCATCGAATATAGTTTCGAGAGAACACTCGTTTTTTCTATACTGAGTTGATAAAGTCATTGGCCAATGCAAGTGATTATATTTGAAATTATGTTCAAATATAATTAATTAAAATCAACCAGTAAGATGAGATAAAATGATTAAGCTATTTGGATAGAAACACGTTGAAGTCCCAAGTTTAATCGAGTGGGTCGTGAATGAAGGAACCGTATCATCATTGAGTTCTACACTAGAGGTTTGTTTGCTTTGTCCATGTAAATGTACTTCATATTTTGAGTTCGTCCTCCGACGCAGCCTATGAGTTTCGTAAGGATCATGAATTAGATTTATGTCAATATATGAAAGCCTATAGGGTCACACATTATGCAATCAGTTTTCCGAGTAAGTGTGACTCAATAGAGTTAACTCAATTAGATTGGAATATTTATTTATGAGTAATGAAATTATTTTATATTTGAAAGAAAATATTTACTTAAGTTAAATTTTTGATTTTATACTTAATTAAAATACTAATTGGATTAGGTCCAATTACCTATTGGACTGTAGGGTATCCTAAGGCCCATATTATTAGGTTTGACCTAATTAAAAATATTTCACTATCTCTTCACCATCATTAATCGATGGATCCAGGGGCGTAGCCAGGATTTTTTTTCTACCCGGGGCTGCTTAACATTGAGCTATTATTCAGATTAAACTATTCACGAACACAATTCATTTTTGGCTGAAAGCTCGAACTCAACTATTTCATACACTTCAAAGGCTAAGCTGGAATACCTAATCAAACTTGTTTATTAAATAATCACATGTTCGAACATGAGATATTCCACTTGCCTCGGCTCGAATAACATCTTTAGCTAGATGCCATAAGAAACCAATGTATGAAAATAATTCTTATTAATATTCAATACAACTTACATGAATTACAAAGTTAAATAAATGAAGGTGTATTTTAAGAATCCAATGAATGCCAAATCTAAATTATTAAAATCCATAAGTCGAATCACAAAATAAATGTTCTATTGGAATTCTAGAAGAAACAAAATATATAAATTAAAATATAAAGTAATTGATATATTCTATATGTAATTGATATATTCTATATGTAATCTATCTATATCTATATCTATATATATACTACTTTAAAAGGAGGAGTGTTTTTGTAAAAATTCATAATGCCTAAAAAACCCTTACTTAGACATAAATTTAATGGCAAATTAGTAATACACTAATACACATCATATTTTATTTATATTTTTAATTAGGCAAAATGGCAGGTTTTAACACGACCTTTACGTGTTTGGCAATTTAATCACGACTTTCAGACTTTGTCGGAAAAATACATGACCTTTACATTTTTGGCAAAATGATACACGCCGTTAACGGCCGTTAACGGAAAGCTGACGTGGCGTCAGCGACATGTGGCAAATTGTGACACGTGGCAGCTTACAGAATTGCCACGTCAGCTTTCCGTTAACGGCCGTTAACGGTGTGTATCATTTTGCCAAAAATGTAAAGGTCATGTATTTTTCTAACAAAGTCTGAAAGTCGTGATTAAATTGTCAAACACGTAAAGGTCGTGTTAAAACCTGCCATTTTGCCTTTTAATTAAAAATAAACTACCTAAAAAACCCTTACTTTCACATGTTTTTAATGGTAAATTGGTAATATACTAATGTCATCATATCTTATATCCTCCCTATATATAATTTAAAAAGAAAAAAACATAACTATTCTGAATTCAACATAAGCAAATCAATGAAAATAATATATTTATAAAAATTTTATTACAAAAGTTGACTCGATAATATTATTAATGAATTTATGAATTGTAAATATTTAATTAAAATATTAATTAAAAAGGTGTAATTATATATAATGTAATATAGAATATACAAATATTTGATATATAATGAGGCAGATGATCAAAAAAATTCTATACTTTATATTATGTCTTTTTTGAAAAATCTACAGTTAAGAACATGTGAAAGAATAAGATAAAAGTTTTAAAAAAATATTAAATATAAAAAATAATATGAATAATAACTAAGTTGTGACACATACTAATAAATTAAAAAAAAAACTAATAAAAAAAATAATATAATTAATATAACTAAATATAAACCTTCTAAAAATATTCTTATCGATGTAATCGACTTGAGTTGTTAAACGCTTGTTAGTTTTTTGTTCTTATTAATTTTATGTGTAAATTTGAGGTGATAGACAATAGTTATTTGTACATTTATACATGTAGATTAGAAAAAAAAAATCTTTATTAT